GATAATTATTAGGCCTTCACCAAAATGTAATTTTAGTAGAACTTTACTTGCAGTAATCAGTTAACACTAAAAGTAACGCGCCAATTTTTTTTCTAAATTTTTCGACCTTTGTACCATACTCGAGAGTGTTTAAATTGATTCATTTAAAGACAAATATGCTTGCCAGATAACGGTAAAATACTAAGGCGTTATTGGGTGACTTATTTAAGGTCTGAATATAATTCATGCATTGCATTATTGCCGCATTTCATTGGCATATTTTTTTATTAGTCTGACATAATTAAGTTATGCTCTTGCATTAGAAATTGATTCCTATGGAGATAATAAGGCAGACCTTAAAAAAAAATCGGTGCTGCAATATCTTATTACCAGTGACCCAAACCTGCTGAAGCAGCTTCGTTTTAGTAAACATGGCAATTAGTTTGTATGTCTCTTATACAGGCAATTTAGCGAATACACACTTTGCAAACATCTGCCAGGCCTGTATGACAGATTATCCAGGAATTTAACAAAAAGGCACAAAATGGTGTCACTACATTTCACTCACGCTTATTATTGAGCCTCGCATGTCCCAGGGAACATCAATCATCAGTATCAATTAAAAATACAATTATAAAGAATTTATCATTAAACGAAAGCATGCAAACCACCCCCCCCCCCCATATTAAGGGGACAACTCCACGTTTTTGGTCAGTGTCCTCTTTTAGGGGTACTCCTCTTCAGGGGAAACCTCTTTTAGGGGGACATTTTTTTGGTTCTGAAGGTGTCCCATTAATAGGGGTTCTACTGTATATACGTAACTATAACTATAAAAGCACTGGTAAGAAGTTCCAGTCTTAATCATGATTAAGTAAAAGGAAAATTATCCCCGAATATATTTTGATGTGTATACAGTTGGAGAGAATCCCCTATTTTATGGTATTTTCCTGAACAGAAAGGCATATTATTCTTGTCAGATTTAGGCATGCAAACAAATAACATGTTTATTTTCAGAACACATTGGTGAAATATATATGTAATATAATTATATAACCCTATTGTATTAAGTTCAAGTTTGTTAATAATTGTTTCAAACCGGTCATTGACATTAATGTTTTGCCATAAACATAATTTTTATTAGAACTTAACATATTATTGACTTGCAGGGTAGTTCTTAGGCCTACATTGATTTGCAAGCACTATACAATGAAATATATAAAACCTAGTGAAATTATTATTTGTATTTATGAAATGGTGAGTTGGAAAACGACTATTGCATTTAGGATTAGGCCTATAAATTCAGGTGAATGTTGATAATTAAATAAATTACACCTAAATGTCCTTATACGACAATACATTGTAAGATACATATTTGCGAACAATACATTTAAAAGAACATCCAAGATAGGTCTAACTTTTTTTAAATCCTAATAATAATAATGAATAAATAATAATATTAGGCCTTCACCAAAATTCAGTTTTACTACAACTTTACTTGTACTAATCAGTTAACTCTAAAAGCAACGCGCCGCTTGTTTCTGTAAATTGTTCGATCTTTGTACCATACTCAAGAGTGTTTAAATTGATTTATTTAAAAACAAATATGCTTACCAGATAACTGTAAATTAGTAAGGCGTTATTGTTAGTGTGACTTATTTGGGGTCTGAATATAATGCATTGCATTAATGCCACAGTTTACCACCACGAAAAATATTTTTCTTAGTCTTACATAATTAAGTTATGTTCTTGCATTAGAAATTGATTCTTATGGAGATAATAAGGCAGACTTTAGATTTATCGAACATTCTTGGCTGTAATAACATATTACCAGTGACCCAAACTTGCTCAAGCCCCTTTGTTTTTATAGTAAATATGTCGATAAGATTGTATGTGTGTCTTGTACACGCAATTTAGCTAGTACACACTTTGCAAACATCTGCCAGGCCTGAATTACATCATCCAGGAATTCGACTTCCACAAAAATTTGGGTTTCATGCATTTTCTTCTTTAAAAAATTCATAGAAAATCCCCTAAACATACTGTAGGCGTCCATTGGTAAGGCAGAAGATGGCGTCACCACATTTCACTAACGAAGGATTTACATCATGTTTTCCAATTTATTAGAAGGCAGAATTGCGATGATTCCCAAGCAAACTGTGACAATTCACACATTTATTTCTCGTAAAATTTCATAGGCCTACTTCATACAATCTTGAAAAATGCTGTGAGATAAATAAGTTCCTGTATTATGTAGTTTTGATAATTAATGTTGCTGGATGACCTAGAACCTAGGCGTATTGTATAAGCCTACAAACAAAAAATATACATATAATTAATTTCATTTCCTTTATTTTGGATTGAACATCTTTCTTACCTTCCTCGATATAATAATACATTTATTTAAAATCTACACATTTGCATCAGTGACACACGCTATGAGGTGGGTTTGCAAAAAAAAAATACAATTCATAGATTTAGCAACAGTACAACGACAATTACAATTTCTAGACGAAAAACAAAAAATACGCAGTTATACTCTAAATTCAATCACTCCTAATCTGAATATATAAACCCATTATAATAAGAAATTATAGTACATACTCCAAGTATTGAAATGCATGCCATCTTTTTGGGATTTAATATTTCGACATTAATTATGTCATCATCAGGAGTGTCAAATTTATTGCCGAAATATTGAATCCCAACACGATGACGTGCAATTTGTTTAGAGTATGTAATATACTTTCTTATCTGAGATTAATCAGTTGTCTTTTCGGCCATTATTATAAAGTTTGAAATATAGCCGTTACTGATTAAAAATGTATAAAACATCATCTTGCCCATTCTAACAAATTATTTTCTAATCTTAATTTGTTAACCGTTCATGACATTATTAAATTTCAGCAATGCCTTTTTGTATTAAAATATCTATTCTCTTCTTCCATCAAACTTCTCTTGCAATTTTATTCATAATTCTTCAATCCATTTTTATAATACCAGGACCTCCAATGAAATCCATTTTCCCCAGTTGCTGAAATAAAATGAAATGAAATCAAAACAATTTTAAAAATTGAAATAAAACTGGAATTTAAATGCTTTAACGATAGGTTGATTACAAATTGAAATCAGCGTCAATGCAAATACCGAGCAATATAACGCCAGTCTATAAATGGGTTTTTATATTCATTGGCAAGACACTAAAAATAGGATCAACCACTTCGCAGTCAATTAAAATTACCAGCTGATGACTATTTTTAGCATTCTTGAAAATGCTAAAATCTCAAAATTATAAATGACCGAGTCAACAGATAGCAAGTAAACCCATCAAGTCTATACATTTCAATCGAATTGCCCTTGTCTGTTAAATCTGACCGAAATTGACTCTCATGAGCTATATTATTAAAAAAAAAAATAAAGCTATATGTCTACTATACATGTCTATTATTTTACTTTCTTGGTTTATTAAAGCTATAATCATTACTTAAAAAGCCATACAATATTAGACCTATTTGATATTATGGTGATATTTGTGGTTGAAAGCAAATTAAACAAAGAAAATGAACCTGTGGAAATCAAAATTTCCATGAGGCTGCCACTCAACCAGCTGATAAACCGTATTGTTTGTACGAATGTATTTTTTTTTTGGTACTGTAAAGGGGCCTGGTTAGAAGTTCCTCATTATGTTCATCATTTATTTTGTTTAAATTGTTTGTTTATTTTACCAAACATAGCCTATGCTAGTTTTGAATATGGGTATTGGAGGTTAACGAACTAAGGGTCTGGGAATAAAATTTTGAAACTCTGAGGTAGGCCTACAGACGTTCATTGACAATGCATTTTAATGCCCTTAACTATGGGCCCGAAATGGGTTTTCCTAGTGAGAACAGGTTATCTCAAGTTAAGAATACTGCTACGCAATTATGTGGAAAATATTTTTATATTAAACTTTTATCAAGAAAAATCAACATCAGTGATGCTTATAACTTATTGATATGTTTTAATACAAAAACGTATTTTCCCTTTACTTAATCTTATATATTTTTTGCTTGTTGAAAATCTTAATTATAGGAAATAGTAATTTAATCTTATGAAAGTAATTAATAATTCAAGAATAGTAAATTCAAAAATGTGTTATGCTATTTTATTTTGATCCATTTATTACAGCAAGGGTAAAGTACTTAATATTAATTATCCTATAATCGTATAAAAATAGTTTTTTCTGTAAATTGTACTGGTAACGTGATCAAATATCGTGTATAAAGTATGCTGCCTTGGTAACGGGGTTATCTTGTTTGCACCTCCGTGGCGTTACTGTTAGCCATTCTCTCATATCACGAGTAGGCCTAATATACATTTGCTTTGTTCATGGTGTCAACAGAATGTTGATTAGAATAGATATAAACTATTAACATTTATGTGAATGAAAACCCCTTGAGTTAAACGTCAACCATCATGATCATGATCATCATCATTATTATCATTATTATTGTCATTGCTATTACTATTACTATTATTACAACTACTATATTTTTACTATTACTAATACTACTACTGTTACTATAATTATAATTATAATTATTATTAATATTATTACAATATTATTGTAATAACGAAATGGCTCAAGTGTGAAACAAAATACACTTAAATGAAAAGTAATGGCCTAATTAGATTGACAGTTAACTATACTTACTATTTATGTTTGTAAAAGATACCATATGCCTCATAGTCACAATGAGAACTGATGTTAAAATTGAAGTTAAAATCATTAAATGAAAAAAAAAAAAAAACATGAAACACACAAACACACACACACACAAGAGAAAATTACTTATGTAGGAAAAACATGGAAACCGGCTGTAACTATCGCACCATAATCAACAGATTCTATTTATATCGATATTTCCAATTATCCAATAAAATTTTACACTGCTAATCAAATTATTTATGGAACGATCGTAAACTTTAATAATAATAATAATAATAATAAAAATAATAATAATAATAATAATAATAATAATAATAATAATATAATAATGACAATTTTTTTTTTACATTTTCAGTTTTTCTGCTACTTTACGATGTTTTCGAAATTTGTATTGGTTGAGTTGGCGCTGGTACTCTGTAGTAAGTGAAAAAATATTGTTATAAAATCATCATAATTGACGTTATTATCATCATCATCATCATCATGTCAAGTATCATTGTTCTTTTTGTTATAAATTACACTCGCCAAATACGTAATTGCACTCAAATCAAATCATGAAACAATACCTGGAACATATACGTTTGTTTTTATTACATTTCTGTCGATATACTAGTTACAAATGATGTTGTGTTATTACGGTACAGTTTGCCGTACCGTTTGTGTGACTGGAATTAAAATAATCATTAAAATGCAACTGAGTATTTTTGTTTGTTGTCGACTCCCCCCCCCCCTCCATTCTGCCTACGGGACAATGACAATAATAATACTAATACCAAGTAATTAGTTATTCATTTTTGTAGCATTTTTTAAATATATTTTTTATATTTATATGTATTGTATTTCAGACATCCTGTAATTGGCTTTTTGCTGTTGGATGATGTTCGAAATAAAATAAAATAAAAATATAATGATAATGAATGATGAGGGTATTGATGTAGATAATGAGAACACCAATGGTATTTATGATTTGGATATTAAGGGAGATAGTAGTTTCATTTTATAATAGAATACATGAAAGCCTCTGGGACATGCCAGCTTACATCTATGAGCTTATTTCGATGGAAGGGAAAAAGTAAGTAATCATGTACGAAAAGTACGTAAAATCATGGAGGTATAAATGAGAAGGAGATCACTCGGCAACAGATCCCTTTGACGCGACAAATCAATGTTTTGGTATAATAATGGTAAATTGTAACTTGAATTTCCATAAATTGGATAAAACTCGATAATTCTAATTTTAACAGATATTACTTAAGGAATGATGGAGGATTATATTAGGTCGACGACAAACAAAAATACTGAGTTGCAGATTATTCCAGTAACACAAACGGTACGGCAAGTTGTACCGTGATAACAAAACATCATAACTAGTATATCTACAGAAATGTAATAAAAACAAACGTATATGTTCCCAGTATTGTTTCATGGTTTGTGTGCAATGTTAATGACCAAATATATTCTACTGTACAAAGAAAAATGTAATTTGAATAATTAATTTTTAATATAGTTGTTCTGATAAGATAAAAATATAATGTACTGATGATCATTTTGGACACCCATAAAGTGTCCCAGTTCTCCTTGTGTTAAAAGACATATTTCCTCTCGTGTCATTTGAAAGTGTGTCCTGGGGGGGGGGGGGGGGGGGGTACGGGTGGGTACAGTATTCACTTAGTCTTTTATTGGAAATGCTTGCACCATCAAGGTGACGTATTTCAAATATACCATAGAGGTATAAAAATATGGATGTACTCACTCCCTATATTGGAAGATGCATAGCGCCCTCAAGTTAACGTATTTTGGATACAAAGTTGGCATATTTTGAAAGGAATGAAAATGCCAAGCGCCCTCAAGTTGACGTATTTTGGCCATACTCGCCTATATTATTATTATTATTATTATTATTACTATTATTATTATTATTATTTACTGTTACTATTATTATCATTATTATTATATAAATATGTATGTAGTTTAAGAGGGATGGGGGTGAGGTGCCAAGCTTGATTAGCTCTAGCTATACCTTGGTTACCTTTTGTATTCATATTATGTTTGTTAGATACAATAATATTATAATAATAATAATATTGGAAAGGCCTGGCGCTCTCAACTTGACGTATTTTGGACAAATTCCTACGTATTTTGGGCTGTTAATCACCAACCCTAATGGAATTTAGTGGAGTGGTACATTTGAATCTAAAGGTTGGAAAGGGTCAAAGCCTTTAGGAGTTACAACAATAAAAATGCAAAAATTACAACAATAAAAATTATGCAAAAATTAATAAAAGGCCTTTTTGTTGTTGTTATTGTTGCAGTTTTCGCTGTTGTTACTGATGCGGTTGTTAGCTTTGTGTTGCTGTTTGTCTTCTTGTCTGTGTTCTTGTGTTTTTTTTATGTTGTTTTTGTTTTTTGGATTGGAGTTGAATATTAAAATATGGTAGGAATATAATTGCTCCAATTATCGCAGAGACATTTAACCAAATATTTAAAAAACGCATGAATAAATCGATATTAAGAAAGGAAGAATGATTGCACCAGGAAAGAAAAAGGGACCACCAGGAAACCTCAGACCAATGACACTTCTTAAGACTATAAGAAAATGTCTATCACTTATAGCTTTAGATCGAATTCGCCTACAAGATTGACAGATATCTATCACTAAGCCAAAGTGGTTTTAGAAAAAGAAGAAGTACTAGCGAAATAGTTCTCACGTACAAATGGCTAATAGCAAAGCCAAGGATTGAGAAAGTAGATATCTATATTACAAGCGCTTTTGACACCATCAACCGAGAAGCAATGCTTAATATTCTAAAAGGTATAGTCAACGAAGTGAAGTGCGCATTATCAGGTGTACCTTGACTTTTGCTGTCTTGCTATTTTAATTGTGTTTGTTAAGTTTGACGTCCCACACAACAGGGATCTAGAACCTCTTTTTGTAACGCCAGCCTATTTTTTTCTGTCTTATGTTTTTTGGTACGACGAACAATATGGAACATTGGAGTTCTTCAAGAAGACAGTTTTTAAGGCTTAAACCCGGTGTTTTTCACTGTACACTTGGGACACGCTCTGAGGGGGCTCTAGCAGAATAATGAAAACGATGATTTTCCCTTACCAACTGAGGTCTATTATGCCGACGATCTTGATTTCATTTATGTACAACAAAGGAAAAACGTTAACGAAATAGAGGAGCACTTATTAAACTTTAAATGTATAAAAAAAAAAAAAACAAACAAAAAAAAAAAAAAAAAAAAAAAAAAAAAAAAAACAAATAAAAACCATGAATATACTTCTATATAAAGAGAAGAAAATGAAGAATGGAGGGGAAGAAAATAGGATCGGTACCCGGAGATATAGAAGATATAAAAAGAAGAATACAACTAGCATCATCAACACTAAACAAGATGACTGCAATATGGATACGTAAAGCCTGGTTTCCTGTCGACGTAAGAATGCAGATTGCTTATGACTACGTCGTTTTGACTAACAAATTACGATTTGACAGGAAATCGATTGCGACTGATGCGTTGTAAAATCGACGTAACACAAAGCAAAATCGTCGTAACGCAATGCTCGACAGGAAACAGACGAGTTGAAAACATGTCTGATACGTCCAACTCGACAGAACCGCGTTTTTGTCAAATATCCTTGAATGAACTCGCTTAAGTTACGTTGCTAACGATTCTTAAGCAAAGTTTACTCCAAGTCAATTTTTCATAAGAAAATTGAAAATGGAATATGTTTTTGGTATTTATTGACCATGCACTTATAAAATTGTTGCAAGTTTCGATGAATATGGCCTCAAAACTGACTTAAAATTGATATTTCATTAAGATTGAGTCGTTCTAATTATTTTTCCTAAATGGTAAGCTCCTGATAACAAATTAAAACGATTCAATTGCGATCCCTGTCAGATCTAAACGATGTTTATTTTATTAACTGTTTCGTTTTAAATAATCTACTAAATTTATACCTCAATTAAATTATCTCTCACATGTACCGCTTTTGTACAGTATTTGAAATTTCTTTACTTTTTTGAATGTAGATAAATGTGTTCTCGATGTGAATTTCTTCTTTTCTCAATGAATGTATATATGAATATTATTTTTAATTTCCAAATATTGAACCCATATTTTATCACTTTTTACCAATTCCAATATATAATATTTATTAATTACAAAAAGTTTTATTGTATTTAAACCGTTCATATATATTATATTTTTTATGCGATATTTTTCATGTTTATCTTCCTTCGATTTTTATTGTTAAACTTCAATTTGTTTACAAATTTCAATAAAGATTACTTTGAATTGAATACTTTGAATTGAATTATAATCTAGTCCAATAAACGGTTGGAAAAAAGGACGCTTATCTACTGTATAATACATATGGCTAGGTCCGTACGATGTTATCATTTGTACATTTTTTTTTGCTAGTAGGTCTAGTAATAAGTGCGCCTCGCTCTAAATCTCTTTTAAATTTGAATGGACAGTGATATTGTATTTTTAGTGTTGGCCTAGGCCTTATAATTCTTTTTGAACTTCTGTTTACTTACTGCAAATTTGAACATAATTTTAACCTGTTATACATGAGCTATTACCTTTAGTTGCTTTAAATCCAAAACAATGACTTGATAGTTGAACCAAAATAAGACCGCGCTAATTAACGGGTCCAGCAAAGACGAAATGTGAATCTTGGTTGTTGTGGTACTGTAGCCAATGAGCATTACAAATCATTTAATTCAAATACTAGACTATTTTCTTTTAATTAATGCTTTTGTTTTGTTTTTTTTCCAATTTATTTTTCCTTTTTTAAATTTGTTTGAACTTTGGCGTTTGTATTTTTAAAATGTTTAATTAAGTAAGGCAGGGGTAATTAAGACATTTATTTGTACTTATTGTTAATCTCTTCAGATTGTCATTTTTTTCTTCTTATCTTTTTCTTGGACACACCGTAATGTACATACTGTGCCACTGTTGCAAAAGTTTCGCATCCAAATAAAGAATACAATAAATGTTTTTCCAATCAGTATGCAATAGTCGATGGTCCCGAATGATATTTTTAAGCACTGAATTCCATTTTCAGGAAGGATTGAATAATTCAATTCTTAACTTATAATTTTATCGCATTTACTTATCTTATAAGCATTTTCTAATGATAGAAGTATAATATACTGGATTAACTTAATGAGAAAGGCACGAGCTGATGGTAAAGCCCGCAAAAATTGCGAATTTCGCGAGTTTATTTTTAATGAGCAAACCAGGTATCACAACAGATAACCGCAATCGCAAGGACAATATTCAACTTGACGCTAGGAACGTGTAACAACGTTAGCGCAGGAATTTCAGCTTGAGGTTTGAAAAGTCAACTTTGCGTATGAATCGTTACCGGCTTATTTTGTCTGCGGCCCAACACGATCAAGACG